TGAGTTTGGTGTCACTGGACCCCATCCCCGTCCCCGCCACCCCTTCCACTGTACCTCGTTCACCACCTCCAGCCCCCCAACCCTTCCTTCTCCAGAAGATCCGAGCTACCCTCCGTCTTTACCAGCTTCAGTGAACATTCTGACACACTGAATACCCTTCCTGATCTTCAGCCACATTTCTCTTGCGCATCTCCAGCCCGACATTCCCTGCTCACTCGCTGACGGACAGAGAACCACAACCGCCAGGGCCCGCTGACAATCGACACAACCTGGGGGTAACTGCAGCGTCCTGTTCAATAATCCCCTTGTTCTCTCCCGTACTGGATTTTCCAAAACAGTCATTTTACACCGTTTCTCTTACGTCTTTGATTTCACCCAGACTTCTCAGAAACATACTGCCTCCTGAGAAGTCCAAGGGCATCTGTGACCGAGTGTCTACCTCCCTCATTAGACCGAGACTCACTCTGGTGTTACTTCCTGCTAAAGGCCCCACTGTCTCGAATGAAGCATCTTTCCATCCGTTGACATGTGCTCCTCAGCCGCTCCTTTCGTCCCTTCAAGGATCCTGAGCTTCACCTTCCGTGCACTATCTTTTTTTGCTCCGTCTTCTTACCTTTGTCTCAAAAAAAAAAGCGCTGCATCTAAGATGTCTCTTCTTTCATGCTGTGACTTCCCAGAGAGGGCAGTATCCACGCATAGCCCCACACAGAAACCTACGCGATCCCTCTCCCGACCTTCCCCATCCTTCTGAAATGCTCCCAGGTCCTCCAGTCATCAAATCTGATGGCTTTTCTTGGCCTGCAGCCTGCTTGACTCTTCTGAGGCACCTCAGACTCAGAGAGATCAAAACTGAACTGACCACCCCTCTCCCTGTCCACTCCCACCTGCTGACTGCTTCCCCAGTCCTCCCAGTTAGGCCCAAAGCTCCCAGTTGTCACTGCCCCCAGTGGAGTTATTAAGTCCCCTTCCTCTCACCACGGTCATGTCTGTGTCACCTGGTTCCTCCCTCTCCGTTGCCGTGACAGCATCCTGGCCAGGCTCCACAGATTCCCTGACATGTGACACCAGGCTCCTGGCCACCTTCCCTGTTGCTGAAATACCTCCACAGACCCTCTGCTGTCTAAGAAATAAAACTCGAATATTTTAGCCTGAGAAGTAAGTCTTCTAGGAACCGGCCCCAGTCTTCACTTCTAAGCCTCCTAATGTTCCCCACTTCCTTCATTTCCTGTATTTCACATTTCCTCTGAACTCTGGGAGAACTCAGAGCTCCCAGGACCCGCCCTGCATGTTCTCACCTCCACGCCAGAAACAGGCCAGTGTGTCTACTTGTCTTCACTTACTGAAATCGTATTATTTTTTTTTGTTCAAGACTTGGAAAAGATGCCATTTTTTTCCTATCTCCATAGTTGCAAGTTATTCATTCCTCCCCTGAACCTCCAGAGTTCAAATATGCTCATCTCTTTCTTGCTTACTCTTATCCCATGTTCTTTTATATTATAGTTACCTGTGTATATATTTACCTCATTATCCCTATTAGATTTCAAGTTCCTGGGGGCAGTGATAATAACTGTAATAACCACCACCACCGTAGCGAGCTCCTACCACAGTCCAGTTCTGTGCAAAGCACGTGTTCTCACGATCTCAGCAACCCTATGAGGACTGTCTCCATTTTCAGGGGAGATTAAGTAATGTGCCCAAGGCCAACATGTAGCAAGTGGTACGGCTAGAAATTGAATCAAGGCTTGCTGACTTCAAAAGCCATGCTCTTAACTAGTATATATTCCTATCTAGACTTGACCAATAACCACTAACTAAAACACGCTTTCCCTAGGTCCTCGGAGGTTGGGATGGTTTACTGAGCCAGGTTCCCCAGAGCTGCTGAGGGTGCTTGATCAACACATACATTTATGTGAGAGAAGAAACAGATAGCTTAGCTAACTCTTAAAGGATACTTTCAAAAACAGAACAAAGCTTTTATGCCTCAAGGTTAAACAGAACATCAAATGCAAAGTGACAGGAAAAACCTAATTCACCTGGATTAGGTAACAGCCTGATTTTGTCTCTTTCCTTGGAACTGCTGATGTCAGTAAGGCAATGAGTCAAGGCCATCCTAAAAGCCTTAGATAATTTAAACCATGTTTAGAGAGAGTCTCCAAATTTCTAATTTCTGAGGCTCTGACATCAGCCCTGGGAAAACAGGATAATTTTACTCTGTTGATAGTCAGAACCAATGTAAACGTGGGGTCGTATCTTATCTATGAACAGGCAAATAATGTATGGCACACATAGGTCTCGGTGTAAAGAAAAGTGGTGGGGTTTGATCTCTACACGTAAGCATCTAAGGGCTGTAATCCTCCGAGAGGAATGTCATTATACAGCTCAAATCCCATGACAACAAACACCGTTACAACAGAGATGTCTGTATAACAAAAACCCTTTCAAGCTTTGGCTGACAGCCCATGTACTTCAAGCAATATTTGATGTGAGACTTGGAGTTCACAGTAATGGGAATTGACCTATATTTCCAAAGGTAAGATTTGAATGATTCCATCTGTAACTTCCATCCCACGATACCATGAGTTGCAGTGATGTACAATCTTGAGCCAGGGGTATAAAAACTAAGGACAAAGACAGAAGCAAAATCAACCCTGTTCCTGAAGGGTGAAATTCCTTCCTTTCACTTGGGGAACCCTTAGGGAAAGGAGAAGGCCTCTGACCCAACCCTGAAATAAAGCAGACCAGGGCAGGTTTTGGCCTCATCTCCCTGAGAGGCGAGATGGAGTATAGCCCATGAAGACAGATGAACTGGGCTCAAATTTCTACTCTGCCGCTTACTAGCTGGGTGAACTGAGCTATCTCTCTTAACTTTTTGTGATCCTCAGTTTTCTCATCTGCAAAACGATACTAATACCATCTACTTTTAGAATTCCAGCAAGAATTAAATGAGATAACTATGCAATGCTCCTAACATAGAGCCTGGTACGCAGCATGGGCTCCAAAAAGGTAAATTCCCTCCCAAGGCCTCCCTTTCCCTCCAAGACTCTGAGTGATGCAGACTGTTTAAATGAAGTTAGATATAAGACCTAGCGAATGGAGTTAAAATACAGAGTCACAAATACGGCCTGGTAAAGATACTGATCAGAGGGAACACCGGGGAAAAGAGGGCAAATGGTAGAAGAACTAGGCCAGGCATAAGCAGTTACTTGACTTAGAGAAAGGTCTTTTTGGCTAAAGTAGGACACGTGTAACCAAAAGCTAAAATGCACGTAACAAGGCATCGTAACAGTAAATGAGCTTTGATCATTATGTCGGAGGTCATTTTGAAAAATGCTGAATAAACTGGAATCTGCAGGCACGTTTTCCTAGTCAAGGATGAACTGTGGTTACTGCTCTCAAGCCCTGGTTTACTGCCTCCGGCCTAGTGTTCTGTGGGTGCCATTCTAGATGGTGGGAAGGCCCTTCTTTGCTAAGTCCTGAGCTTCAGCCCATTCATTATCCTGCCTTTGGATACGGTGAAAGTATTAAAACCAATTCTAGTGTTCTCCATCTGGGAACCACGTAGGTAAAGAGTTAAGGAATATGATCAATGAAGAGTCCCAGCATTGCCCTAATTTGTGATGTCTTTAATCCTCTTGATTTTTAAACATCTAATTTTCCATTTTTCAAATTATGGGACAATCAAGTATGTGATGACAAAATTCTTAAATATATTCTTTTGAAAACACTCTTGGTGTTACATGATAGGTTTTGAGATAGAAAAGGAGAGTCCTATAAACACAGGCATGTCTGTTCACCTTTACAAAATAGATATGATCTAGGGGTTTTAAAATTTCTTAAAAGGTTCCAGAAAGTCCTATCAGACCTCAGTAACTACAGGGAACAAGAAATGGACCAACGTTTCTCAGAGTCAGAGAACATCAGAGTTTTAACAATGACTTAGTCCTAGCCCTTCACCTTGACAGTAAAGAAGAGGCTCAGAGAGTAGTACGCGCTGATGTTCATACGCTCAACTAAAGTGTGTGTGTACAAGCCGAACAATGAGCTTGCAGGAGCTCTTGTGAGAGGCAACAGAGAAATAAAACAACAGGCCAGACAGAAATACCAAGGGGCAGAGAAACAGCAACTGTGAGACCCACAAAGAGATGGAGGGGCCCTGGGTACGAAATCCAAGAGATCAAGACCGGAGAAAGAACAAAATTACTAAAGCGAGGTTAAAACATGGACAGAGACCAAATGGTAGCAGCAGAGGAGATATCTTAACTGAAGTCTACAAAGGGCTTACAAAGGGTGACTCCAATACCCAGAAGCTTCAACCTGGACAGAGGTTTCCGGCCTCTATTTTAATAACTGTACCCACCCCTGCAGAATCATTCTCCTCTTAAAATGGAGGCAGTCACAGCCCCCACATTGTACGCGTGAATCTTACCACTGCTAAGGGCGTAAACCAGAGGCATTTTTGAAGGTGTGCTAACTATTTCAGGCCACTAGGGTGCTACTTCCCGCCCCCAAAGGCACACTTCACTTAATGATCTCCATTTAGACCCCAAGAATTAATGTCCCTCCTAAAAGTGTACCCTTTATTCCTTACACCAGTGATTATCACTGTTTATAAGGTACTTCAAGATCCCCACAGCCTATGGAAAAGTGAAATGCAGCTGTAATTACACGGGCAGTAACAGAAAGGTAGGGGTAGAAAGAGCTCGGTTCCTCAGAGAGGCAAGCCACTGCCTAGAAAGTGACCTCAGGGAGGAATCACGCGCCCGGACGGAGGCGCGGCCGCGCCGCCCCCCGCTCCGCTTCTACCTCCCCGCATCCCAGGCCATCTGGTCCACCTGTCCGGGAAGCAGGCGGGCGGGGGGTCGCGGGGAGGGGGCCGGCTGGCCGCGGGGCACAGGGGTAGCGGGCGGCTCTCCCTCGCCCTCCTCCCTCCCGCGATTCCCGGGACGCCCAGGCGCCCTGCGCGCCCCTGACCGCGCGCGCGCGCGCCCCACTATCTGTACCTTTACTCTGGGGAGGGTTCTGACTCCGGTCCCGGAGGACGTTGATCTGGTAGACAGCTCCGTAAGGCTCAAAAAGTTCTTTCAGCTCCTTTTCCGACCAGGACCGGGGGATCTGTCCGACAAACATCTTAATGGCATCTGGGTCTGGTTGGTCTGAGTGATCCAAAGCGCCGTTCATCTTGTTGGCTGTGCCGTTACTGTCAAAAAGGGAAGCGGGAGCCAGAGTTAGGGCTGCAGGGTGAGGGACAGGAAGACAGAAAATCGGGGGTGGGGGCGGGGAGGCGGAAGAGGAGCACGGGGCAAAGTGCCTAATGAGTCGTGGAAACGTGATGAACTAAAACAAAGCACAGGCACCATTAGGTTGCTCCTCAGCGGCAGCGGCGAGAGCTCTCACTGCAGGCTGCTGTTCAGTATCGCCGCCCGACCCCGGGCGGCGCCCTGCCGGCTGTCACCCGGGGCGTGGACATCTTGAAACCCGGCTCGGGAGGCAGCTGCAAGTTAAGAGCAGGTCTCGCTTGGCTAGGCTGCCATCAAAGCACCCACAGCGTTATCAGCCCCCACACTGGCTCTCGCGTGGAAAGAAAGGCGGGGCTGGATTTCTGCTGGCTTTCCCACCCTTCCACCCCTTTGGGGAGGTTTTTGGAAGAGAGGAGAGAGGTGGTAATAATAAAGTCACATGAAAAGAAAATGAAACACTCGGCAGTCCGTCAGATGACTAATGCAAGATGCTGGTGATGAATTTGCAGAGCGCGCGAGGCATCCATGTGTGCATCAAATTAGTATGTTGTTGCTGCTCAGAAGGGAAAGTGCTCCAGCAATGCGGCTGGGTGCAGCCGATTGGCTGCCCACGCTGGAGAAAAGGGCCCGGGCGGGGAGGGGGCTCCCATTTAAAAAGCACGTTGTTTATGGGACCCGGGCACAAAGGGTTTAATTCAGAGAGGCAAAGGCGATCTCAGAATTGCCTGCTTTGTGCCGGGAGGAAAAAAGAAAAAAAGCAGTCCCAGAAAGTTGAGTTCCCGCTAAAGGACACTGAATATTTCAAATCTTTCACACTCCGTAAATTGCTCTCTGTATATCTGACATCCAGATGTTGCACTTGAGTTCTAAACAACCATACGTTTGGGAGAGAAAAGAGGAAAGTCTGCCTTTTCTTCTCCTAGCTTCAGTAAATATTTGGGGCCGATACAAAGGGCAAGACCATAAGCTTTTACATATCAATCCTCCTTAATGCTGTTTCCCAAAACCCTTATTTGAAAGAGACAATGCTTGTTTAGAACGTGCAATTCCAGTCACCACCATGTAAAAGGATGATGAAAGTGTTTATGTTTTACTTGGATTCCGCCCCCACCCCATCTGAGCTGCAGTATATAGTAAAGCAAAACCACATACCCTCTGTCTCCCCCGCATACCCCCCCCATGCACCCTAAACCCACCTACTCTGCCCAGCGAAAGGCTGAATGCCCTAAGCAGCATCCATCTGCAGTACTGTGCTCTTGACTCCCAGCCTGTGAAAACACGGTAAAATGCACTTAAACTCGGCAGACGTAGAACCTACAGAGCCTTGTCCACGACTGTCTCTCAACCCCCAGCCTCCAGCCCAGAAGGCAGAAAGAAAGGGCCACATGGACTAAAACTTCACTGCAGATGGTCACTTCACTGTAGCCTCAGGGTCACAGTAAGATGGTTTTCAAAGGCTTCCTTATTTCAATCAAAACCCATCAGAGCACCTTAAATTTGCTGTGAAACTAGGCTAGTCCTGAGCCCTTGGTGGTGGTGGGTGGGGGGGGGGGAGAGACACTGATGGCTAACAAACAAACAAACAATAAAACCTATGGAAAGGAGAAATCCTGAATTCAATTTAATCCCGAGAGGAAAATGATGGCAAATACTCTTCACTAGGTCCTGGCTTCAATTTCTCCTTCTTATCCCCCAATTCACCACTCTGTTTTTTAATCCTTGAGATAAGCAATCAGACTAACTTGAAGTGCTTCCAGAGCTTTCTCTAATCAACCTTATTGTCATAAAAAATGTTCTACAGTGTTGAGCACAAAATCTTCCCTCAACAATTTAGGTGTAATGCAATGCCTGCTTAGATTAGAGCGCGGAGCATTTAATCTCGTTCCTGTGCACCTCTACTGCTTTTCAAATCGCCCTCTGGGAATTCAATAAACACTTTAACCCGTGGAGCCCGGCTCGGGCAGGGCGGAGGTGGCAAAGGCCCACGCAGAACAGAATGTAGCATTCACAGCTCGCTGACAGTGTGGCAAGACTTATTTCTGGGACAGGAAAGGCTTGTGGTTACCGCTGTTGACAAGCAGCTAGAACGAAAAGAGGAAGGCGTTGCCACAGGTCCCAGCTAACAGAGAACGGAAGTTCAAGAAATGGGGCTCCTGCCTCTCGTCTGCACAAAGCGCGGTTAAGACAACTGAGGGGTCGGGCAGCAGCACACTGGTCCGGATATCTAGAGCAAGCATTCATGGGTCTCCAAACGAGGGGCCGTTTTTACTTTCTCAAAAGATACACCCTCACCGAGGTGCATAAAGGAAGGGACGCTGCAAAGAGGGTTTACGCCCTTTGGTCTTTATGTTGGTATGTGTTTATAATCCCCGTCCCCCCCCCGCCAGCCATCCTTCACAGGTGCCTTTAGATCTCTTGTACCCTGAGGCAGAGGCGTGTTGGGGCTCAGGGTCTGAATCCTGGCACTACCGCTTCCTAACTGTGCTGCCCTGGGCCTCAGACTCTTCATCTGTAAAATGGTAACAAACTCCACCTCATATAGTCATGTGCTTAGTACAGGACGTGGCCCCGGGTAAGTTGTCTAATAAGTGTTAGCTGTTGCCGCTGTTCATCTTTTCTGTGCACTTGTGATGCACTAGAAATGAATGAACATCACAAGCCTACTTTTCAATCCAATTTTTTTCACAGTATGGACTCAAACACAATTCATATCCTAAGTAATAATAATAATAACAGGCATCTTTCAGCGAGCACTTATATGCCAGATACCATGCTAGGTGCTTTAAATACATTATTTCTAATGCTTATAACGTCTCTATGAGAAAGTATTATTTTCCAGATGCAAACGTCTAAGAAATAAATTCCTTTTCTAAGATTACCGGCTTATACACTGTAGAAGTAGAATTCGAACCTGGGCCCAATGGGCTCCAGAGCACGGAACATTTCTAAACCATCACGTGGCCACGTATTGTATCAGGTCTGCTTTGGGCTGAAAGTGAACAGCTTATGGTAAATCTATGAGAAGTCAAGGCCAAGAGCAAGACCTACTGGTTCCCTGGAATCACACTGCCAAGTAACAGGCGGCACTATTAGGAACACATATACGCATCTCTCCTCTTTCTGTGTTGGAATTAGGGTGCAAAGGACTGAACTTAAGAGTCCATGAAGGCTACCTTACAACCCACATTTTCTCCATAATCGTATAACGTGTCTCCATCTCCACTGACTGCCTCCCTCTCTATTCCCACCGGATCACATCGATGAGCACCTCTCATCCGTATCTGCATCCTTTCCCAACTACCTGCCCATTTTGCAAACAAATGTTCCAAAGATTTGCATCAAATGCTAAGAGCATGCAGCCCCTTCCCTTAAGTAAATCCAACTATGTCTGGCTGTTACACAAATTCAAAATAACACATCTGGGACTTCCCTGGTGGTCCAATGGTTAAGATTCCACGCTCCCAATGCAGGGGGCCCGGGTTTGATCCCTGGTCAAGGAACTAGATCATCCCACATGCTGCAACTAAAAGAGCCTGCATGGCACAACAGAGACCCGGGGCAGCCAAATCAACAACAACAGCAGCACATCTTCCAGATCAAAGCATCAGTGGTCCTACCCCACTTGATGACCCCTGTGCTGCTGAATCCCACGCCCTGGACGCTGACGGTATCGCAGCAGCCTGGGTGACTCTGTTCTCATGTGTGGGAGCTCCTCCTCCTTTGGACGCCCAACTTTCTTCCCAGCTGATACTCATTTCTACCAGAGACTTACTGACTTCTTTTGTCCTCATGGGGCTGCAAGTGCTGACACTTCTAAGGAAGCCAGAAATCATGTCTAACAGTTAAACCTTTTGGAGGTACTTGCCAGAGGCCACAGCAAACCAATTCGATCTACACAGAGGCGTAATTATGGGAACAGATACCCTAACTCTCAGTAAGATCTTCTATTTACTGGAATCTGATCTCGGGCTTAGAAAATTAGACTAGTTCCCTTCCCCACACTCCCTAGCCATCCTCAGCCTCCAGGACAGTGCAGGAATTAGGTTCAAATTCAAATATTTATTGAGAGCCTACTCTTTGCCAGAAAACTTTGCCAGGTACAGGACACACAGCATCACAACAGCTCCAAGAAGATGGAATTATTATCCCTGTTTTGGAAATGAAGCAATCGAGAGTCACAGAGGTAAAGTGACTTCTTCAATATCACACCCCTAAGAAGAGGTGTCTGCAGAATCCGGACACAGTACGAAATAACGGCCAGTGGTTACTGCTTAATATCCCATGAACTGGGTTTCTCTAGGGTGATGTTTCCCTTGGACTCAGTGGCCACTGGCAGACCTGAGACACAAGCCATACCTCTCTGCTGGCACCTCACCTACAAACTGCAATACTATCCTGGACGCCAATTCCGCTTTTGCTCTTGGCCAAGTGCCAACGATCAGGCTCCCCCAGGACAGATGCCATATGGAATTGGACCACGAGTTAGAGAGCGCTGAGCCAGCGGGCACTGGTGGTATTGGTCTCAGAGCCAAGACGAAAATATAATGATGCTGGGGGAGAAAAATGACGGTGCTTACTCTTTGCTTTCAGCACTGGCACTGACCTACTTCCCTACTCTATTTTCGAGTAAAGAGGACTAGACCAACAGAGGATACGCAAAATCTTCTGAGGTTCCTCTAAGCAGCAAAATATTACAGAAATTACAATAATTGATTCAATGTATTCTTATTATTGTTATTATTTCCAGGACACAAGCTTTTATGAGGTCCAGTGAATGCAGGTTTCTTTTTGGAGAATGCAAACAAAAGAACTGATATTTCTATTCTTTTATCTTGCTCTCATTGGACAGCAACCTTCTGCATTACATCTCCATCTCCCTTATCTATACAAAAGGAAGAATAACAAACTTACAAAATGGGTATGAGAAATGCCAAGTGGCTATAAGTAATTTTATAAAAGTTGAAAAAAAGGACATCAAATGCCACCTTCAGAAGGTATACAAACCTGAAAACATCACAAAAAGATGCCTTGTCTTGGAAAAATTTTGAATAAAAGATAGCTAATCTCCTTGGTAGTTACAAATAATCTTATTACTCCTATAGTTTTTAATCCATCTTACTTTGGTCCTTGGAATATCCTGCGTCAGTACTGCCAACTGTGTGCGATGATGGGAATGTTCTATAACCCGCGCAATCCAACAAGGGAGCCACAAGCTATATGTGGCTACTACACACTCGAAGTGAAGTTAGGGCAACTGAGAAACGGAATTTTAAGTTTTATTTTACTTGAATTAATTTAAACTTAAATAGCTCTAAATGCAAATATAAGTAGTTTTTTTGTTTGTTTGTTTGTTTTAAAGACAAATAGGAGTTGAGATTCACCAAAACATTTCATCAGATAGTTGTGTTGGGAAAATAGGAACGAAGGGCCAGGAAAATGACACCAATGCTTGAGTCACCCGAGAGCTAGTCAGTGGGCAGTGGGCTGGCTGGCCTGGGTTCTCGTCTTGGCTCAGCATTCAATTAACTGTGGGATC